AGGAATCTTCTTTGAAAAATAGGTAGTGTTAGATTTATTGGTAAAAAGCCTCCATTTCATGTTATCTGGACGAGATTTTTAAAGAAACACACACACAATCTTGGAGTATGTGCTACTCCTAAATCCTGCATGTAGTCCCAGGCTTTTCAAGACCTAAGGACAGTTATCAAAACTCAGAGTTGTATTAGATGCTATTTTTTTTAATTGAACACGAATGGTGCCACTTCATGCCTTGAAATCCAATTTTGCACCTGCAAAATACACCATCCAAACACTTCATGAGGTGTGTGACCCAACACTGTACTTATTTCACGTGCTACATTACATCTATATTCCTCTATCACTCAGCTGAACTACAGATTTAACCAGAACCATCTTTTTTACTCACACTAGATCAGAAGAAACAGTGCTCAAGCAATAAAATCAACAGTGGCTGAAACTAGTTCGTAAGACACATTATCTTTGATGTGTCTGTAATTTTACTGTTACCCTTCTCCTTTTCACAAGGATGGGCGGCTGTTTAGAAGAGGTGGAACAGAACTATATTTACTTCAGTTCTGGTCCTTCACAGCTTTAAGCTATGTGACAGATGCCTTTCAAGACCATTTTTTTTACCCCTTTTGCTGTCTGTCCACTTCATGAGCCACAGTATTGCAATCATATGGTAGGTATTTAAACTTTGTCATGTAATTCAGTGGGGCTGTGCTCTATAGTCAGGTCTAATGAGCTACGTAGTACAAGAGGCATGGTATGAAAATAATGTGTTGTTGAACAAACGTCAGCAAGATTTTACCTATTATTTCAAAATATGCTGACAGATAACCAAGAGAAACCCAATTAAAAGTGTATCCTGCTACTTTAACTCAGTATGTGCAAGAGATGCACTATTCAGCATAACAGTTTGTTATTACAATAAAATCATCTTTGCTAGTGGCAGTTAACATAACTGGTCTGATTTTCAGTGAAGACTTATGGAGAGCTTTCTGGAAAGGAAATAATAACAATTTTCCAGCAACTTGCCATTTTCCATATTTAAGGTCAGAGAAGTAAGTAATCTTAAATGTTAAGATGAGTCTCTCATACCTTCTGTTCTACTGATATAACACCCAGACACTGCAACCAGCTGTCATGTCACTTAGCTCTGAAAAGGTTCTGCCATCACTTTGAGTGGACTGCACAAATCATCTGTCCAACACAGAGTTTTCCATTTTTATTAAGAAAGAGAACCCACAGGGCTCATACATTAGTACAAAATACAATCAAGTCCTTACGTATTAACATTTTGAACAGCAAGGTTATTTTTTTTTGTCTTTTTAAAACCGTTTCACAGTTATCAAAAACAAAACCCCTGCATATTGAACTCATTTTTGTGCAAACAAACAGTACGTATTTTGGGACCAAATTCGACACTCTTAACTAGGAGCCAGAGAGGAGAATTTGGCAGTGTTTTTTACCCCTCCCTCAAAGAGCCACGTGTGTTTCTTAAGAAACACTTTTCTAGGGGGTTTTTTTTGTTTTGTTTCTTTTGTTGGTTTTTTTTTGCAGCAAACAATCTAAGGCCACAGGTTTTCTGCAAACAACAAACAAAAAAGCAATCCAAAGATTAAAAATACAACACGCGCACACACACAAAAAAGAGCTGCATCTTTACCCTTCGTTGACACATGCTCTGAATTGCGTAACCATGTTCATACCACCAAGTTAGCTAGTTAACCACCTAGAAGGTATGATGGTCATAAGCACCTAATGATCATTAGGCTAATATTTTGAAATAGCTACATGCAAGCCAATACACAACCACATTACCGTTCAAGTAAACTAAAATGATATCCGTTTAAGGAAAATATTTGTTTATTCCCTTTCAAGGTTCTGCAAGTGAAAATCCTGCTCGACTGTATGGGCACACCATCAATTAAAAAAAGGCATGAAAGCTACAACTTGAAACTTTAAGACAAGTGTTTTCTTTTTCAGGATGGACTTTTCTAAAATGTGCAATCAAGTTTTGGTTGAAATTACATTTGATAGGAAAACAATACTTAAAATTGCAAATAAAAAAAATAACTGCAGTTTGAAATGATATGCATCTTTGTCATTACAGCTCTTCTACACTGTGGACTGAACAGGAAACAGAGGTGAAGTGGTAGAAGTTAGACAATGTACAAGACGAGAGTTTTGCTAAAAGGATGAAGAGTAAAAATACATAAATTCTTGTAGAAAAAAATCCCTGCTTCTTAAAGTACTGGTGATTTTTTCCCCCCGCCAGAGAAAACCATTTCAATTCTTTTTTAAAACTGCAGTTATTAATGAAATGAATTCAATTCAATACATCTCACTTAAGTTACCAGAAAGTATAGTATTCTGCCACGTGAAGCACCAAGATTTCTAAACCCAAACCCTTTTGTAAAATATACGAAGTTGTCTAAACAGTTCAAAAAACCCTTATGTTAAATACTTGACTGTAAACTGAAAGTTTGCATATTGTGATTGCCATCCTCCTGCTCCTTTCTGAGTGAACTCTTGAGTGCCTCATCAGGTGAATTACCAATTAATGCTCA